TTCCTTCCTTCCTTCCTTCCTTCCTTCCTTCCTTCCTTCCTTCCTTCCCTCCCTCCCTCCCCAGCTGCCTGAAATCCACATCCTGGGAACGGAAATTCGGATACCTGAAACGGAGACCCATGAAATTGGGGGTGGGAAAGGCAGGACCCGTGGAGGGGGGGGGCTGGGGGCAGCCAACGGCAGCTGCTGCCAGGTCAAGCAGCAGGACCCTCCTCATCCCCCAGCAGCACTGGGAGCCTGCGAGGGCTGGGCTGCTCCTCCCCAGGCCTGCTGGGGTGGCCAAGGGATCCCTGGGAGGCAGCGGCCGTGTGTGGCGGCTCTTTCAGCAAAGGCCCAGCAGCTCCGGAGGGGATGAACAGGGCGGCAAGCCTTCCTGGCCCAGTGCCAGGCGCTGGGCACAAAGAGCCCCAGGAGGAGGAGGAGGAGGAGGAGGAGGAGCAGCAGGGCCGGCAGGAGGGCTGGCCGAGGTTAGTCCTGCCGGAGAAGGGAGGCCCGGCGGAGGCTCAGGAGCGAGGGAGGGTCTCAGCCCAACTGACACAAGGAGGGAGGCCGCAGAGGAGGAAGGTGCTGGGGCAGGGAGGGGAGAGTGGACGCCACCCAGGCTGATCGGGACAGCAGACATGCCTGCGAGAGAAAGCCGCGGCAGAGAGGCCCAGAGGAGAGGGGGGGCTGAGGGCAGAGCCCCCTCCAAGCCCGGCCAGAGCAGCCACCGTGTCTGGGAAGGGGGGAATGGTGGGCCCTGTCCCCGGGGGAGGGAGGACCAGGTGGGTCCAGCTGGGGCTGAAGGGGGTCCACAAGGGAGAGCCCAGCTTCTGACGCACTTGCTGGGGGGACCAGCCCCCTCCGCCACAGGGCAGCCCCCAGGGGAGAAAAGCCACGTCTTTTCATACGTTTATTGTGGACCATATAAAAACAAGGCAACCGACATCCCTTCCTGAGCAGGTTGGGGAGACGGGGCCCCTCCATGAGGGCCCGGGGAAAGTCCTCTCGGAGGAGCCCCGGAGCATAAGCGTTTGCAGCTCCTCATTACGGGAGGGAGCCAGATCTGGAACAGCCCCAGAAGCAGACTGGGCCCAGGCCGGCTTCAGAGGAAGGAGGAGCGGCCATGCTCCCCGGTCCCCTCTGGGGCTGCCTTCAGGGGCCTTCCTGTCCACAGCAGGCTCCTCCTAGGAAGGCAGCTTCCAGTCGGGCAGGCAGCCAGGGAGGGTCCTGGGCCCCCAAGGACCTCCGTGCAAGCCGTGATCTCTGCCCTCACCCCAGCCCAGGAGAGGCCATGGCGGGGGCCGCCTTGGAGGGGGCAGCGGTGGCGTGTGCGGGGTGCTTCAGCTGCAGAATGCGCTGGCGTCCTTCCACTTCCGCCCCCTGGGAGAAAGGCAAGAGGGGGCCACGGTGAGGGAGGCACCCCGAGAAGGCCGGGCGAGTGCCTGGAGCGCAACCGCATCCCCACGGGAGGCCCCTCCCCTCCTCTGCCCTTTCCCTCCTGGGCACCCAGAGGGCGTGAAGAGAGCCTCGCTTGCCATGCCCACCAGGGAGAGGACCTGACCAGTGAGCCCCACCCACCCCTGCAGGCTTCCATAAAGCAGGGAAGGGCCCGCCAGAGACCTCCTCTTGGCCCCCCTCCGAGCGCCTCTTCCGCTGCCTGAACCAGCTTCTCACGCCAGCCCTGAAGAGGCCAGCAGCAGCCAAGAGGAGAAGCCGCTGGTCTCCCCCCCCCCTCCCGCCCCGAGGTTCCACCAGGGGAGATTCCCGACAGCAATGCAGAAGTGCCAGGGGCCACGGGGGGTTCCTCTGCAGGCAGCCCTCCAACCCACGGCCGGCACCAGTGGGGGTTAAGACCCCAGGAGGCCCAGGCGACCCCCCCCCCCGATCCTGACCTCCGCCTGAGGGCCAAAGGGGGGAGGGAGGGGGGAGGAGCCGCACCTGCAGGGCTGCGTAGGCGGTTTCGGTGGCCTCTTTGTGGCTGCAGTTGACGAAGGCGCAGGACCTGCGAGGGAGGCACCGGATGGAGTCAATGGGTCCAAACCTGCCCCAGACAAGGGGGGTGGATGTCAAAGTTGGTCTGCCCTGGCGGCCCCCTTTCTTCCAAGGGGTGCCCCCCCCCGGTCGCCAGGAGGGGGGAAGGAGCCACAAGCCCCCCCCCAACCTGAAGAGCAGGGCTCCTTACGGCTGAAAATGGTGAAGAAGAAGAGCGTGCTGGGTGCCCTTGGGTGCCAGCAAACCACTCCCTGCAAGGGAGCACACCAGGCACCCCCACGCCAGCCTCCACTGACCCCGGGGTCTCTCCCCCTCACCCACCCGGCCTCCAGGGCCTGGGGACCCCTCTGCAATCAAGCTTGGAGCCCAGCCGGCCGAGTGTTTGGCTGTCGCCTGGCCCTGCTGGGGCTGCTGCCCTCTGCTCGCCTGCAGGGAGAGACCCCCCCCCACATGTTCCGCTTCCTCCCCCTTCCCGGGGCTCCTCACCTGACTGGGGCCTTTGTAGCCGGAGGTGCCCGCTGGGCAGTGGCAATGGCCTGGGCAGTGCCGTCTGGGCACCGCCGCCCCCCTGGCTGCTTTCCTTGACCGGCAGGGAGAGAGAGAGAGCGGCGGGTGAGGGCCAGCGATGGCTTGGTCTCTGCCCCCCCCTGCCAGGCAGCCCTTGCCCACCCTGTGCCCATCATCAGCCAGGCTCAGCACTGACCGGGGACTGAGCTCCCGAGCCCCCCCCCACTTACCAGGCAGAGGCAGCTGCGTTTCCACAGGCAGGAGGTCCCGGTCACAGCGGGAGCAGCCCAGCCGTCTCTCCTGCCAAGGAAAGGGCAGCGGGTGAGTCTCGGGCAGCTCCTCCACACCAGCCGCCATTCGCCCATTGGTGAAACCAACCACCACCAGAAGCCAAAGATGTTTCAGAGGGGTGGGTGGGGGGGCTGTGCCTGGGTGTCCGGAGAAGCCGGCTGTTCTTGGACGCCATCACAATGGGATCCCACAGCCTGCCTGGTAGGGACAGGATTGGAAGCTCAGCATGGCTGGCTTGCTCCGGGCGGAGACCCAGCGACTGTGGCTTGAGGGCAGCCAAAGTGGCTCACTGGTCAAGCCAAGGAAACGATCCCACTGACCACCTCGAGAGACCGCTGGGGGAGGCTGCGAGCTGCCCACGCCCGGAAGGCAGGAAAGAAAATCCGGCATCAGAGCAACCAGCAGCCCAGCCAGCTATGGGGGCCAGAAGGATGGGCTCACTTACAGAGGTCGCCTCTCGCCTCGAGAGCCTGGTGAAGGGAAACGGCTGCAGGAAGGGCCCCTCCAGGCCTCCTGTCCTCCAAGGCTCCTCCTCCACGGAAGGCCTCCCGGGCCAAATGCCTGCCTGCCCTGGGAAACCCGTCCAGGCAGGCCTGCAGCAGAAGGACCCTGCTTGGCCTCAGAGCCGAGCTGGGAAAGGAAGCCCCCCCTCGCCCCTCCGGGCTCACCAGGGAGAGCTGCGTCTGGCACTTCTGAAGCTGCAGGGCTGCATCGCCACAGAAGCCATCCAACGGGAGGAGCTGCTGGAAGGTCCTGGCTGCTGCCGTGTATTGCTGGGGATTGGGGGACAGACAGGAGGGTCGGCCGGAGTCCCCCAGGCCCCTCGCTGCCCCACTCTGCCCCTCCGGCCGGGAGTACCTTGAGGCCCAGGAGAGCCTTGCCCTGGCGGAAGAGGCCTTTGGGCCAGCCCGGCCGCAGGCTCAGTGCGCTCTGGGCGTCCCGCAGGGCCTCCACATGGCTCTGCAGCTTCTCATAGCAGAAGGAGCGGTTCCCGAACAACCTGGGGGGAGGGAGGGAGGGAGGGAGGTCAGGCAGGGCTCTTCCTCCCAGGGAGCCCCGTCTGCGGCCTCTCACCTCAGCTGGTGTCACAGCCGCCACAGGGGACTCTCCAGGCTGGGCCCGCTTCTCCCTCAGGCCCCCCGGGGGCTCAGGGTCGGAAGCAGAAACCAGCCACAAGTGACTCAGCCCCTTCCTCTCCCCCTAAGGTCTGCCTGAGGCTGCCCCAAAGACCCCGAGGCCAGGGACTGGGGAAGGGCGTGGGGGCCCAGCTTTCTCCTTCCCCCAAGAGCCCAGGCCGGGGGGGGGGCCCTCGGGAGATCACCTGGCTGTGCAACGAGGCTCCCTGGGCACCCAATGCCCATCACTGTCCCTCAGTCCCACCTCCAGCACAGGTCCTTGTGAAAAGGAGTGACAAACGGCAGCGCCAGCGCACGGACTCCTTTGCAGGAGGGAGGAGGGCAAAATGCTCCAGGGCGGCCAGGGTCGAACCCAGCCTTCATGTGGATTCGGCCCAGCTGCCTTCTGTGCTGGACGGCCACCCAGGGAGCATCCACGCCACCGGCCACTGCCCTGGGCCACCCGGGACAGGGCTGCTGCCAGCACAAAAGGAAGGGGGAGCGGGCAGGGCGCTCGATCGGCAGGGCTAGGTCTCGCACCCAGTCCTAGCAAGCAAAGCATTTCCCCCATTGCCAGAAGATCCCCCCCCCTTTCTTCTTTCAGCAAGTGAGCAGCCCACTTGCAAGGAGAACAACGGGCTGCCAGCCTCAAAGATCTTGGCTCCAAGCCCTGGATTTCCTTGGATGAATTTTCTCCTCTCCCTTGTTTTGCACAAGGCCGAAATTCTTTTTATTCCAGATATGAGAGCTGCTCCTCCTGAACCATCAGGAATGTTCTCCTCCTCCTCCTCCTCCTCCTCCTCCTCCCCCCTCCCTTTCCTGGAGCTTTCCCAGAGGGGGGAAAGGAAAAGGGGGGGGGAACACCACTCTCCTCTCTAAATCACAGTTCTTAAAGTGCTCTTCCAATAAACAGATTGCACTGGGAGCATCCTTCATTTAACAAACTAGATGCCTTTTTATTTATCTGTATTTCTTAACACCCCAAATGCAGAGCCGCCTTGCAGCAGCGAGATCCCTTATTCCCTCCCTGGCTAGATGACACAAAGGCCTCCTCACTGCCCTGAAAGGCTTCCAGCTCCTTTCGGCATTTCCACGCCTGGCTTGCTTCCAGCCCAGAAAGGGGGAAATGATTCTTTCCTGAACTTTGGCCAAGCTCTCCCTGGGACTCTCCATCTGTCCTTCCCAAGTCTGACACTGCTGGGTCCTCCTCCCATCTCCAGGGAGCCCCTCCTCAGCCCCCCCTGGATCCACCCAGCACAAGCAGAATACTGACCCCCTCCAGGAACTCCCTCCGTTTCCCAACAGAGCTGCCACTTTATGAACCTCCACCAAAACATGTGCAGCTAAATCAGGCCCACCCCAACGTGCCTTAACCATGGCAAGAAGCTCCCTGCAAAGCACCTTCTGGGGTTTGCCAAACAGCCAAATCCCTCACCAACCACGCCAGGCACCCTGGTCCCTGCCCTCCGCTTCTTAAGGCCCTTAGTCTCCCTCGGACAATCCCCTCCAATCGGGTCACTCGGTCGGAGGGAGGTGAGACAGGTCTGGGGGGAGGGGGGCTTCTCTTGCTCCCATCCCTGGGACACTCAGCAGGAGAGGAGAGCAGCCCGCCAGCGCCCCCTCCAGGCCGCAGGTCTTCCTGCCCACCTTTTCAGAGAGGTGAGCAAAGCGGACTCCATCCTCCCTGCAGCCCCAAAGGAACCGGCTGGTCTGCTCAGAGGGGCTTCCCAAGGCAGGCAGGAGGGGCAGGAGGGGAGGTCCGAAGCAAGAGGGCAGCTTTAGTTGAATTGTGCTCAGGACGACACAACTCTTTCCTTAGGATGCCCGAGGAAGACTTGGCTGCCACCACCATCCTCCCCATCCTGGCCATGGAGAGGAATCCCACCTCACTTGGACCCAGGAGCGAAGGGCTCAGCGTGGCTTGTGGGAGGCAGGAGCAAAGCCCAGGCGAGTCTACAGACAGGCAGGAGCTGCTTGATCCACAAAGGGTGTTACACACAAGCCTCCCTTGGCCTGGGCTAGATGCCCCCAGAAGCCAAAGCTCCTTCCCGCCCTGAGCGGCTGCCTGCACTGGGGAGAGAAGGGAAAGGCTTGAATTCCAGCCCAGGGCCAAGGACGGCGGCAGAGGCGGGGGGGGGGAGGGGGGCAAGGCAGCCCAGTCCCTCCAACAAGCCGAGCTCACCTGTATTCCTGGGGGTTCAGCTTAATAGCTTCGGTAAAGAGGCGCACGGCCTCATGAAAGAGCCCCTCCTTTGCAGTTTCATTTCCACAATCTGGAGCAGGAGAAACGGGCGATTTAAAATGAGGAAATCACAGAAGTGGAATTAACCTTCTGACCGTTTAGGTGAAAGCTGGGCTGTTCCCCCAATGCCTTTGCAGAAGCTCCAGGACCCCCCCCCCAGTCCTCCAGATGGGAAATGCAGGACAGCCCTGCAGTCACAGTGGACGCCCGAGTAGACTTTTCAGAAAAAGAAAAACAGGCTTCCACAGGAAATCCTCAGGGATCCACCCGGGTTGATCCACTTTGAATACGAACCCCACCACCGTTACACGCATCCCTCCGGCTTACCCAAATGTCCTGCCCAGCCCTCACCTGGCCCAGACCAAGGCTCTACTCTGCAAGCAAGACGGCCCACAAAGGACCTCCGGGGAGGGGCCTGCAACCCTGTGGGGCGCGTGAGCCAGCGCCCCTCCAAGACACAGCCCTCTCATTGGGACTGTGAAGCCCCTCCCCCACAAAACCAAGCCCAGGAATCTGAAATCTGACCGAGTAACTCTCTGGCTCCCCTTGAAGTGGGGCCATTATCACCCCCAGCCCTCTGGTCCCAATCTCTTCGTGGGACTTAAGCTTTAAGCCCCCCCCCCCATTGACTCCCTCTGAACAGGTTCCAGTTTCTATGACTCTCTCTTATTTGGCATCAAGAACTGGCCACGGTAGCTGAGCCAAAGGTGTCTGACTGAGGCGGAATCAGCAGAGACGCAAGAGCTTTCTGGGACTGTACGGTAGAAGCCGTCCTTCTGCAGAGGCGGCCAAAACCTCCGCTGGCTTCTTCACAGTGATATCCCATGACTGGCTCATATTCCATCTGCCATCTAATACTATTCTAAAACAGTTTCACTAGTATCGTTATCAAGCCTGGAGCTCTACTCTGCAAGCATGTGTTTGATTTTTGTTCCTTCCGTGGAGGGTTTGTTTAAATTTCATTTTATTTTTTAAATTACAGCTCACTTCCCTATCTTATCTAAGTAATTTTAAACCTCATTCTGTCTTCTAAGGAATTCTCTCCCTTAATTTTACGTCATCTGAAAACATAAAGCATTTCCTGTCGCTTCAATCTATTTCCTAAGGGACCCAGAATTAAAGTTTGCAGCACCCCAATTTCTCCAATATGAGGAGGAACTGCGGCCTGCTTGGGCAGGCATGGAAAGGCCGCAGCAGCTCAGCTTTGGGGAGAAGAAAGCGCTTCCAGCCGCTCACCTGCCAGCACCAGGCTCTGCTCCACGGGAGTCAACTGGAGCTCTGGAGGCTTCTGGAGATGGAAGGAGGAGGATGAGGAAGAGGAGGAAGAGACGCCTGGCGTTGCCATCCAGCCTGCCCCATGGCTAACACGAGGGGTCGTAAGCTTCCCCGGCTACTATTTTTATGTTATTTTTGTGGGCTTATGTTGTTTTACTGGTTTTTCTTCCGTTTTGTGAGGCACACGGTTGCCATGTGTCATGAGACGGCTGGCCCACAAATTTACGAAAGACAGACAGAGCAGCCCTTGAAATCATAGATTTCTCCCAATTCTGCTGAACAGATTTCACTCCCAGAATGTCCACAGGGGGCGCCATACAAAAAAGGAAGACCGAGTATTTCCACCCTGTACAGGTAGCCGAGCAGTCCAGGCACACCTGGAGACCGTCAGATTAGGAGGCTGGTTTCCAGGAAATAATTCACCAAATGCTGAATTTTGAAATTTGCTTTTATCTCGTCTTTATTACTTTACTCACGGCAGCCAACATACACAACCCTCTTCCTCCTCCTATTTTCCCCACAGCCACCACCCTGTAAGTTGGGTTGAGCTGAGAAAAGAGGGATCGGCTCAGTTACCCAGCCGACTTTCATGGCTAAGATGGGGCTAGAACTCCGGGTCCCACAGTTGCCCCGATGCCTTCACCACCCGTATTCCTTCTGCCCCTACTCGGAATCAGGGAGGAGCTTATGAACCGGCCCTAACGGGGTAGGGAGAGAC